CTGTCACCATCTTGTTATCTCTGGTTAACTGGTCTTGCTATCTCTGGGTGGAGCCTGTCCTTCCTGTGAGCCTAGTTATGAAGGACCTCCTGGGAGTCAAACTGTTACTGGGTGTGTGTGGGGAAAGTAGGAGTTGGACCTGAATACCAGAACTGCCCCTGGGGTGCAGTTATAGACAGGAAGGAAGATGTGTCTCAGGCAGGGTGGATAGATCCTGCATCAGCTGGGCCCTGTGTGGTCCCAGTTAGGCTAGGTATTGGGGCAGGTGGTCTCACCTGTGAGCCTGGTTGGGATGGACCTCCTGGGAGTCACTAACCTGTTTCTTATTACAGAAGGGTTTTTTTTTCCTCCTTCAGTTATGACATAACCTTGGTGGCTATAGTAGTCTAAGTGGCAGTTATCTTTCAGCTCTCTTGGTGTTTAACATTTCTATTAAGACAGTAGCTATTATTATGATGGGCTTTATTCATGACTTGATTTTTTCTCATTGCTTCCAATAGTTTCTTTCCTTTTTTTTTTTTCTTTTTTTTTTGGTTTTTTGAGACAAGGTTTCTCTGTGTAGCCCAGGCTGTCCTGGAACTCACTTTGTAGACTAGGCTGGCCTTAAACTCAGAAATCCACCTGCCTCTGCCTCCCAAGTGCTGGGATCAAAGGTGTGTGCCACCACTGCCCGGCCAATAGTTTCTTTATATTTAGGATTTAACTAGATGATGAAAGGAGGTTCTTTACTGTCATAACTGTCCTAAAGGCCTTGTGCATGTGGATGAGCATCCTTCCTTTGATTTGGGAAATCTGCTTTTATTGAAATGTTTTCTATTGTTTTAGCATAAAATTCTTCTTTCATGCCCATAATTCATTGGCTCATTTTTTCATAGTGTCTCATAGATCTCAAATGTTCATACTTTGTCAGTGTATGAATGTTCCAATTCCTCTCCTTGTGATCAAGCCCTGACATTTCCTCCCCATGACATTCACATGTCACATTCTACTGGTGACACTTGACTTACTGGGGCTTTTGCTTCCAGCATTTCAGTTTGATTTTGCTTCAGTATTTTCATCTCTTTGTTCAAGTCAATTTATCATGTACTGATTTCCTTATTTCACCCAGCTATTTGTGTTCTCTTTGGAATTCATTTCACAAATTGGTATCCTCTTAATTTCTTTGAGCATACTTGGGATCCTTCTTTTGAGCTCTTTGTGATTTCATCAAACTCATTGCGATTGGAAACCAGGACTTAAGGGTTAGTAACTTGTGGAGCAGTCACGTTGCCTTGGTTTTCCATGTTTCTTGTTTTTTCTCACGGGAGTTGTACATCTGGGGTTACTTTTTTATTTTACATTTCTTATCTCCTCTCTCTCTCTCTCTCTCTCTCTCTCTCTCTCTGTGTGTGTGTGTGTGTGTGTGTGTGTGTGTGTGTGTGTAGTTCAGAAGATAACTGGCTCTCTTTTAACCATGTGTCCCAGGTATCCAGTTCTGGACTTCAATCATCTTTAATCTTGGAAACAGGTGCCTTTACCCATTGAGACATTAAAACATGATCCTCTAGCTAAGCCTCATGGCACAGGTGGTGTAACTCCAGCACTTAAGTAGCTAAGACAGGAGAAAAATGATTCTCTAATAGGTATAAACATTTCTTTAAAAGAAAAATTTTATGTGTACAGGGGTTTTCCCTGTATGTCTTTGTGTGCCTGTGGAGGCCAAAAGAGGGTGTGGATACTGTGGAGCTGGAGTGTTAGGCAGCTGAAAGGCATCACGTGGGTATTCGGAATGAAACTGGTTCTCTGGAAGAGCAAACTAGTGTCTTGACCATTGGACCATCAAGTTTCTTCTTCTTTACAAAAGAAATACTGAAAATACTAACAGGTTTCAAAGATGAATTTAAAGTGCAGGATTAAAAAACTATGGTCAAGAATTCTGTATAGCTCTAAACTTACATAAATGTTTTTAAATTTTGTGTATGCATGTTGTGTGTGTTGGGAGCATGCATATCACATAGCTTGTGTGATGTCAAAGGACAATTTTGTTGTGGAATTTGTTTTCTCCTTTGACCTTTATTCTACAGTTGTATTCTACAGTTCAAACTCAAGTTACAGGGCTAGTATAGCAAAAGCTTTTTTCTGCTTTAAGCCATCTCACTGACTGCTAAACTTGGACAGATTTTACATAAGCTCTTCACATTTTTCTTCAAACTAATTTTGAAGAAAATTATAATGAATAGCATATATAGCATGTCACAAATATTTTAAAAGCACAGAACCTAAAAGGAACAAGCTAGTTATCATGATAGTGCACATCTGTAATGCCAGCACTGAGGAAACTGAGGTGGAAAACTCTGGGCTCAAAGCCAGCCTGGGATGCACCGTAAAATCCTACTTCAAAAAGACAATAAAAAGAAGAAAAGGGAAAAAAGAAAAGAAGGGAGGGGCTGGGAAGGAAAGATAATAGATAAAAGGAAAAATAGACAAGTTGACCCTTTTAATTTTTATAAAAGGGCAAATGGAAATTATTTTGAATGCAATGCCCCATCCCTTTTTCAGTACTGGAGATTGAACCTAGTGCCTTGTGCCTGTTGGCAAGCACTCTACCACAAGCTTGACTTTTGAATTATGTGGGTAAATAACCCAAACTGATAACAAGTCCTACTCAAAACTTCTGAATGCTATTACCCAAAACTACAGTATCATTTTAAACTGAAGTATAGATAGTATATAACCAATCTGTGTGATTTACAGGCAATATCATCTACCAGAATGAAAGTAATCAAAAGAAACTAGTCTTCATATATGAATACTGGGAGATTTATAAATGATACATAGGTAGACATAATTCTGATTGGTATGTTTCTTTTTTATTGATTGACTGGTTGATTGACTGATTCGAGCTAGCACTACATAGCCCAGGCTGGTCTAGAACATATGATTCTCCCAAATGATGGGATTACAGGTATGTGCCACCATGCCTAGCTTAGTTTTGTAGGTTTCCTTTTAATTTAAAACTTAAAAGTAAATCATGTGTCTATGTTGACATATGTGTTGTTTGTGTGTGTAGGGGGTTACCATGCACACATATGTTCATGTGTAGAGTCAGATGTCAACTTCCAGTGTCTTCACTCAGGCATAACCACCTTAGTTTTTGAGACAGGGTCTCTCATTGACCTGGAGGTTGTAATTAGGCTGAGACTGTCTGGCCCAGAAACCCAAGGCTCCACCTGTAATCTCAGAGCTGGAATTACAAGCACATACCATTCTGCCTAGCATTTTCATCTGGGTACTGGGGATCAAACTTAAATCCTCTTTCTTGCATGGCAAACACTATACCAACTATGCTGTCTCACCAATGGTGCAGACTTTCTTTCTCTAAGGCCTTCTTAAATCCTCACACTTGCTAGCCAAGTACTCTGCCACTGAAGTATACCCTTAGTTTGTGTTCCTTTTTTTTTTTTTTTAATATTTATTTTATCTGTATGAGCACACTGTTGCTGTCTTCAGACACACCAGAAGAGGGCATTGGAACCCATTACAGATGGTTGTGAGCCACCAAATGGTTGCTGGGAATTGAACTCTGGGCCTCTCAGAAGGGCAGTCAAGAGTTCTTAATGCACTGAGCCATCTCTCCAGCCCAGTTTGTGTTTCTTGACACTGATTTAAGAATAAAATTATTCCTAGTCATTTCACTCCCAATATGTATTGTCAAAATCATACTATTGCCTAATCTCTCAATGTCAAGTTTCAATTACATAATTACAAGTGGGGTTATAAGTCGATTTAATAAAAAATATAGCTTCAATAATGGCATTTACAGCTGGGCATGGTGATGCACACCTTTAATCTCAGCACTCAGGAGGCAGACAGAGGCAGACCTTTGAGTTCCAGGACACCTAGGAATACACAAAGCAACTCTGTTTTGAAAAACAAAAACAACAACAAAAGGACATTTACTTATTACTTTCAAGCTTGTTAATTAAAAACAAGCTTTCCACGAGATTTGACATTTTCAGAATACTTCTTGAAAAATAAAAGATCATGCAAACAAAAGGTCTGGGCTGGTGAAATGGCACAGAGGGTAAAGGTGGTTACTGTTCCCTGGGCTCACTGTTCCAGTCAGATAGGACTTTATTTTGGTCTACAAATAAACCAAGATCATTCGTGCTAAGAGTTTTTAAAAAAATAAAAATAGAAATAAAAGTCTAGGCTAAATTTAATCTTCAAATAAAGTAAAAGGGGGAGGGGCTTAGCATCTTCGTTTGAAGAGTTCTTAATTCAAATTTTACCTGAGTTCTGTAATTTTATTTGCTAAACCTTGCAACCCTACAAAGACAAGCCCTTCCAAACTCTTTACTACTTAAAACACTAACAGCTTTCGGAAACATGTCGGGACCTTTTCTGTCAATTTACTATGCCCTGTAGTTTTGACTCTGTCTTTCTAGGTTCCGCGTTTCTACGCGATGGATACGAAACGTACCTAAAAAAAAAAAAAAAAAAAAACAAAAAAAAAACAAAAAAAAAAACTAACAAAAACCGTGAGGCTTGAGCTTTTGTATCCTCAGCTCTCCTTAGCTGGTGGAGAAACCTGGCAGGCGGCTCGGAGCTACTAAGCCGCCACAGGCTCCGCGCTTGTGCCTAGCTTCACTCAACCCGCCACACCTCGAAAAATAAGGAACTAGTCCGTCAACTGTGAAGAGTGGACGTCGCAATCCTGGTGGAGAACAGGGAACCCACACTCAGTCCTGACCGGAGCAACCGGAAATGACAGAAAGCCTAGTGTTTCCCGGAGATAAGGCTCAGTCACTTCCGGTTCCGTAAGCCTATTGTTCCCGCCCTCAGTCTGCACTTTCAACAAAATTCCAGGGTTTGGTAGTTCCCTCTGGCATTTTTACATTTCCTTTTCCCTTTGTCTTTAACCCATGTTGGATACAAACACCAAGGCACTTGAATCTCGAGACGGGCGGCTATGAGTAGAACGAACGGGCAAGTGACCATGGCGAAAGTGCGGATCGGGAACATCGCGCGCTTTATGCTCACACCGTGGCTTACGCTTGCGGCCGTCCGGAAGTCACCGGTCTGAATGGGTCTTGGAGCCGGTTGCTGCCGCTCCTCCCTGTGGACTTAACACCGGGCAACTCTGGATCTCTGATCTTGCCAGCTGCCAGATTCATGTGGAGGCTCCCAGGCCGCGCCGCGCTTCGTGGAGTCCGGTGGGTAGTGGAGCGGCGCAACCGGGCCGAAGCGGCGACTCACGAGGCGGCGCGCGCCATGGAGCGCGCGGTGGTGCGCTGTGTGCCCTCGGAGCCCAAGCTCAGCCTGTCTTTTGCGTTGGCCGACGGCAGCCACAAAAACATGCAGCGGGACCAGAGCGAGCCTCTGGGCCGAGCCCTCAGCCGGATCGCTACCAACGCCCTTAAGGGACACGCTAAGGGAGCGGCTGCCAAGAAGAGCAAGAAGAACCGAGCCCATTCTAGCGGTGGCGCGGCCTGTGCGACGACAGGGCCTGAACCGGCTGCGACCTGCGAGCCGGTAGTGAAGCTGTACTACCGGGAGGAGGCGGTGGCTGAGGATGTGCTCAACGTGGACGCCTGGCAGGACGGAGCGGTGCTGCAGATCGGCGATGTCAAGTACAAGGTGGAGCGCAACCCGCCTGCCTTCACGGAACTGCAGTTGCCGCGCTACATTATGGCTGGTTTCCCAGTGTGCCCCAAACTCGGTCTGGAATTTGGGGATCCCTCCAGCTCCGTGTTCCGCTGGTACAAGGAAGTCAAACCCGGGGCGGCAGAACCTGGGGACAACCGTCTCGCGTCATCGTCTCACTGTTTGCAGTCTTCAGCTTGGATCGAGACGGGCGTGAACGAGCGCGTATATACCCCGTGCAATGCTGACATCGGGCTACGGCTCAAGCTTCACTGCACGCCGGGCAATGGGCAGCGCTTCGGGCCAAGCCGCGAGCTAGAAAGCGTGTGTCCGGTGGAAGCCGGGCCTGGCACCTGCACTTTTGACCATCGACATCTGTACACCAAGAAGGTGACAGAGGACTCTTTCATCCGCACTGTCTCCTACAACATCCTGGCAGACACATACGCCCAGACTGAGTTTTCTCGGACAGTCCTGTACCCGTACTGTGCCCCCTACGCCCTGGAGCTTGACTACCGCCAGAACCTTATACAGAAGGAGCTCACAGGCTACAACGCTGACCTCATCTGTTTGCAGGAGGTGGACCGTGCAGTCTTCTCTGACAGCTTGGTACCGGCCCTGGAGGCCTTCGGACTGGAGGGAGTGTTCCGAATCAAGCAGCACGAAGGCCTGGCCACTTTCTACCGGAAGTCGAAGTTCAGACTCCTTAGCCAACATGACATTTCTTTTCAAGAAGCCCTGAAGTCGGACCCACTGCACAAAGAATTACTAGAGAAACTGGCTTTGAACCCATTAGCACAGGAGAAGATACTCCAGAGATCATCTGTCCTTCAGGTCAAGTAGCTCTGCCTGTTTTCTTCATACTCACCCATTAGGGACTTTCGGAGTAGAGGGGGGTGGGTATTAGTACTTGTCATGGAAAATACGTATTTCTTTAAAGTATTTTTGCTCTTGCATCTTAAAAGTGTAGTCTGTTCCTTAATTCAGTACATACTAACCTCTCCTAGTGTGCCTATCCTGCCGTAGGTTGCCTTGAACAAGATGAATAGACACATTGCTTAGTGCTTACAATCCAGGTGGACATAGGTACTTGTCATACACCGTTTTAAGAGCACTTTAAAGCAGTCACAAGTGTAAGTGCCTCCTGTTTTAAGATCTGTTCTGTCACTATGGTTAACTAGTATGTAGGAAAAAGTAATTGGCTTTTTATCTGTTTTTGCAGATACTATTCTTGTTTCATAAATGAGAAAATGTTCAAATGCCCTTATGCTGGTTCATAAAAGTAAGGAGGCCAGTCTAGCATTGAACCACTGAGATTCACCTGCCCCTTAAGTGCTGGGATTAAAGTTGTGAGCCACCATGCCCATGGTCTTTAAGGGCCTTTTCATTGTCTTTGTTCAGGGTTTTTAAGTAGTGGGCTTTGTTCTGAGTAAATGACTGTCTACCCATTTTCGAGCACCATTGTGTTCTGTACACTCCTGTATAAGTTCATTTAATTGAATACACATATCTATGAGGGAGGTGGTACGGTTTCTTTACCTTACTCCGAGGCACAATGCTGTAAATGCTAGACCGTTCAAACAGATCTGATGCCAGGACAAGTGCTTTCACACTTGAAAACAGTATTCAATCTTAATTTTGTCAACTACAATGTATTTTCTCATAATAGTGTATATTGAATGGTTATTAAAATGTTATATTTATTCATGTTGCCATACCTTAAAACTTGTATCAGATTTAAAAATTGGTATCTTAGTTTTCAAGAGACTGTGGAATAAAATAGCTCAGCCTACAGTCTTAAGTACACAACATTCTAGAGAATCAGGTAATGTGGCACCTGCCTTTAATCCCAGAACTTTGGAGGAAGAGGAAGATGGATTTTTATGCGTTTCAAGGCCAGTCTAGTTTACATAGTGAGTTCTAGGACAACCAAGAGTATACAGTGAGAAACTCTTAAACAACAAAAACCAAAACCAAAAATGTCTTCAGGAGATTGGCAGACACCAACTGAACTCTTGGTGTTTCCTATTACAGATTTCAGTTCTTCAGTCTACAATGGACTCTTCTAAAAAGATATGTGTTGCGAATACCCATCTCTACTGGCACCCAAAAGGTGGGTTTTATTCAGCTTTACAATGACTTAAACATTGAGACTTAATGTTATTAAAGCTGTGCACAATGCCGGGCAGTGGTGGCACGCGCCTTTAATACCAGCACTTGGGAGGCAGAGGCAGGCGGATTTCTGAGTTCGAGGCCAGCCTGGTCTACAGAGTTAGTTCCAGGACAGCCAGGACTACACAGAGAAACCCTGTCTCGAAAAACCAAAAAAAAAAAAAAAAAGCTGTGCACACGCACACATACACATTTATATTTAGAGTGTGTGTGTGTGTATGTGCCAGGTGGAATGTGTGGAGGTCAGAGTTGTTTCTCTTGCTCCACCATATGGGTCCCTGGGATTGAACTCAGGTCATCAGATTTGGCAACAAGCACTTTTACCAGCTGAGCTATCTTGCTAGGCCATATATTTTTTGTAAGCTTTAGCAACTTGAAATAGTCACCTACAATATCTGACATTCAAGATAAGTGTTTGATAGGGCTGGGGTGGGGGTACACACCTTTAATCACTCTGAGTTGTCTGTGGCAATGGGATTTCAAGTTCTAGGCCAACACGTATTTCAAAACTCCTATCAAAAAAAAAAAAATCAAAAGGGGTGTGGTGTGTGTGTGTGTGTGTGTGTGTGTGTGTGCATGTGTGTGTCTGTTTTGAATGTCATTCAGGTACCATAATTTGTAGGTGCAGTGTGTCCTCCCCGGGATGGGGTACACTTTAAAAAGTACTTAGCACTAATTTTGTTTGTTTGTTTGTAGGTGGCTACATTCGTCTCATTCAAATGGCAGTAGCCTTGGTTCACATTAGACACGTCTCATGTGATCTATATCCTGGCATACCAGTTATATTTTGTGGAGACTTTAACAGTACACCATCAACAGGAATGTATCATTTTGTCATCAATGGCAGCATTCCAGAGGATCATGAAGATTGGACTTCCAATGGAGAAGAAGAGAGATGCAACATGTCTCTCACACACTGTTTCAAACTGAAAAGTGCTTGTGGTGAACCTGCTTACACAAATTATGTTGGCGGCTTTCATGGATGTCTAGATTACATTTTCATTGACTTAAATGCTTTAGAGGTTGAACAGGTGATCCCATTACCTAGTCATGAAGAAGTTACCACCCACCAGGCCTTACCTAGTGTTTCTCATCCTTCTGATCACATAGCACTTGTATGTGACTTAAGATGGAAATAGATTTTGCTTCACTAACTCTGAAAGGAAGCTAGGTACTTTAAAGAAAATGTAATAAGAAACAAAGCTTATATCTGAACCTTCAATGAGTCAATCTAGACACTAAACTTAATGGTCATTCCCTACTAGTTAAGTTCCAGATGGCTTTGTTACAGAACCAATTCATAATGTTTGCATCATATCTTTATCCACTTTTTTTAATTCCCTACATTTGGAGGAAAACATATTTATGACTAGCAAGAAGAAAATTGAATTATTGTGTACGTTTTATAAGTTTTTTAAGCTGATAATTAAGATTTTTAAGTACTCTTTGAATAATCTCAATTTTTCTTTCAAAGCACATTTTACACTGAATTATGTTAATATAATTGGGGGAGGGGACATGCAGGTAAAACGTGAGAGACTTCAGAGACACATGGAATACATTAGTCTGTCACTACCTCAATTTGGTTAGAATTTATTATAATTTTGGAGTTTTAACAAAAGATTAAAATATACCATTACCAATTCTCACAGCTTCTTCGTTTTTTAGTTAGCCAGGTATTTCCCTCTAGCATTGTTTGTCAGTGTACAAATGACAGTACCATTCATCTAATTTGTCCTCTCACTTGCAGTTCAGCTCATTTTAATAGTAGGATGCAAGCACAATAGAGTGTTCAAAGGGACCGGGAACATGACTTGATCCCTTGCCTTCACTCTTACTCAAATAAAATATTTGTAAGTACACAGGGTACTTGACCATGATGATATGAAAGAATACAGCACAATTACGAGAAACTCCTGATAGAAGCTTCAGAATGGAGATGAACCATTGAGCATTTCTAAGCTAGAAGTGTTTTTGAAACTGTCAGTTTTATAAATAGGAAAAAGGGAAGCAGGCATGGTGCTTTATAGCTGTAATCCTAGCACTCAAGCAGAACTGCTTTGAGGTCAGTCCTGGTCTGGGTTACACAGTTCAAGGCCAGCTTGGGCTACATACATAGGAAAAAAGGGGAACAGTTGACTTGTCAATATCTGAAATAAGCTTTTTATAGATGTAAGCTGTCAATATCTGAAATAAACTTTTTATAGATGTAAGCATTATAGCTCGAGGAACAGAACAGTGCCACATAATTTATATGTAAAGAAAATTTTAAAATGAAGCCAACATTTTAAGATGAGAAATTCCAAGTTGTGTTTTGATTAGTATCTAGTTTATATACTTTTACCACATTTGTTCTCACCATACCTTCTTGGTAATGCTTTAGCTATTGCTTTGTGATGTTCAGGTTTAACTGTAGCATAAGCATAGCTTTCTGCGGTTAGTTTCTGGCTTAGATAGTAAAGGCCTCTCACCTCAAGAAGTCGTCTTATTTTCCAGGCTTGAAACCCATATTTCAGAATTTTTAATCTGTAAATCCAGTACCATATGAACTCTGCTCTTTTGAAAATGTGGGGCTTTTTCCCATATTCTAATGTGGTGTGTGCTTTCATATTCTGCTATGATACTCTTAGGTTAGCAAGTCTGAGAATATAAGCATTTGATTTGCACTTCACATTGAACCTTTATTCAAATTATTTAGAGGGAAATAATCATTAAAGTCGAAGTTTCTTGGGATGCTTTTAAAAAAACAAAAACAAAACAAACAAAAAAAAACTGATGAAAATTTGATGTTACCAAATTGTGCCTTCCTAAATATGGTAGTAGGTTGTTTCTCTTCCCAAGGATCAAATTCAGGGCATTCAGTTACATTCCCAGCCATATACATGCCACTTTTGAGAGTATTTCAATAGCAGTTTATATAGTCAGAACTAGTTATTTTACAAAATATTTTTTCAGTATTATTTATTTCTGTGTTGCTGGGGATTGAACCCAGACCCCTGAGCATGCTAACCATGTGTAATACTGCCAAGCTACAGCAAAGCTACAACCCTTTTCAAAATTTGGTTTGGTTTTGTCTTCAAAAAACCATGTTGACATACTTACATGAACTCTTAAGGAATTAGCAGTAATGTACTCAGCAAGAAGTCAACATACTGAAAGAAAAATGTTTGTGAGATTCATACCCATGCATTGACATCCTATATCAACTCCATGGTGAGACCGAACTGTGTGATTTACCAAACATCCCACAGCTTAAATCCTTAAATTTGATATTTGTGGATTAAATGGTATAATCAGGTCATATACGGATAGCTGAGGATATTCAGATAATGAAGTGTAAAGATTTGACTCCAGCATACATATGTGACTGGAGTGCCAAGGTAGGGAACACTCCACAAATGCTATGAAGATTATACCAAACTTGTTTGTACTCACGATAGGATAAGGTGATAATCAGAAGTGATAAAAGCTATCTTCGTGATTAAATTTTTCTATTGACATTTTTAGTAATTTTAATAATTCTGAGAAGTCTAGCAACTTTGTGGCAAACCACATTTATGTCACAAGTTCTTAGTAAAGGAAAAGTGAATATTTTAGAGTATGTTATTCTGTTAAAATCAACTCTTAAAAAGTTGTCCTAATAACACTAACAGTTTGTAATTCATTAGCAAGAATATCATTTCTGGTTACAGTATCTTTTCTTCTAAAATCTCTAGAATGTAAGGGAAGATAAAAGTTTGAAGTATTCATCATAAAACTCAATAGGGAAGTCTTCTGAAAGATGGCCAACACCAATTTTCTAAACACTATTCAAAAATGGGTTTGAAAATCTTTTGGTCAGCATACTTGCAAGAATTACTGTCTTGATTTCATTTGTAGAGAGGAAACAGTTTTAAGAGCTTTCACTGATGAAATAAGTTCTATGGTCCTATTTTTCTAAGAAATATGCCAATTCTAATAAGTGGTGGTGAGTCATTATCTGGGTGAGTTTTTAGCACTACAACATAACAATACTGGATTCTGATTACAATACCAAAGTGCTGAGGTAAAGCTTATATAAGGTTAATCATCTAAATGTATACAATCTAGTTGTATTTAATACATTCACTGTTGTGTAACTGATTCTAAGGCATTCTCATCACTTCAAAAGGAAAGCCTAAGTTACATCCTCCTTTTCTACCATTATAGATATATCATCTGCCCGTTTTGATATAAGTCTGTATTGACTTGATATGTTTTTCAGGTTTATCGGTGTTACAGTATATACCAATACTTCATCTTTTTTACAGCTGAATATTTTCTACTGCATGGATAATACATCTTGCCTATCTGAACATCTGAATTGTTATTTTTGCTATTGTGACTAGTTCTATGGGTATTTGTGCTCGAGTTTTTGGTCAAGCATCCTTTTTTTTTTTTTTTCCAAATCCTGGACTGGTGTATGGACTGGTCTGCACTATACACCCAGTCCAAACATCTGTTTTCAGAACTTTTAGAGTGTATACTTCAGTAAATTGCTGGATCATAATTCTCTTTAGCTTTCTGCAACACTGCCATACTCTCCCACAGTGGCTACACTGTCGTATACCTCCCTCGCTGCTACATACAGGTTCAGGTTTCCCTCCATCCTCACAAACTTTTAAACAGCCATCCTAGTTAATATGAAGTGATACTTTAATGACACACTTTTAACTTTGGAACTGAAGTTGTTGTAGTCACAAACATGCTTATTTTAAACAGCTTATCAAACCCCTTTTCCTGAGCCCACCTTCAGCAGTTGCTACTTATTTTTACGAGTTTGTGCCAAATAGGAAAGGCTTTACTGCTTCCTTTAAAGAAAACTGAATATCAAAGTTAAAAATACAACCTTGAGGGCCGTGGTGGTGTATGCCTTTAATCCCAGCACTTGGGAGGCAGAGGCAGGTGGATTTCTGAGTTTGAGAGTTCGAGGCTAGCCTGGTCTACAGCGTGAGTTCCAGGACAGTCAGGGCTACACAGAGAAACCCTGTCTCGAAAAACAAAAACAAAAAAACAAAACAAAAAAATACAACCTTGAGTGTAAACAAAGAAGTATGGTAAAGCTCTAAGCCCTGCACAACAACAGGCCATATTCCACACTCAGCAGTTGCAGAAAACTTACTTTTAAATTGGTCCACTTTAAAATCTAAAAGATACAGATTAGCAGATGGCAAGAATGTCTAAATATTGAGATGTTAACTTAGTATAATAATAAATTATAATGTATAATCATGAGAAGTTCAAGCTATTACAGATTTTTAAAAAAATCTCTAAATTCAAGGTAACAAACTTTAAGCCAATAAACTTAAGCTAGAATTTACCCTATTAAATTAAGGGGTAGGGAAAATATTACTTGACCACCTGTAGTGTACTAACAATTCAGATGCTAAAATTTAATTTACATAGAAACTAATTTCAAATATTAACCTTATCAGTTGAGTTAGTTGATACTATCCACTATATAACTATTAATAAGTGATATTTAAAACATTAAACCTGAGCCTGAAGAGACCACTTGTCCTTCCAAAAGACCTGGAGTTCATTTCCCAGGACCCACATGATGGATGGCTCACAACCTTTTTTAACTCCAGGTCCAGGGGGTCCAGCCTCCTCAACTGGCATCTCTGGGCTCCAGGCATGCAGGCAAAACACACCCATACCCATAAAATTAAAAATCACCAAAACCCCAAACAACTAGAAAAACCAACTGCTAAAAACAGTTGAACTGCTAGCTTAATATCACTCAATTTCCAGTCTGGTTTATTCTGATAGGACCCTCTTGTTGATTTGTCAAAACCCAAGTTCTGTGATGGTGTGTGTGTGTGTGTGTGTGTGTGTGTGTGTGTGTGTGTGTGTGTGT